GGTGTTGCCACCTGAACTGGAGCTGGAGAGATGGGAGAGTGGCCAGGAAGGACGTGAGCAGACCCCAGGCCAAGGGGAAGCACCCGCCAAGGCAAGAAGCAGCACATTTTGGGCATTTAGAGGACTGTGGGCTTTCAATGAAGGGTCAGGAAAAGGAGGGGAGAGAGGAGGTCATCGTTGACTCCTTCTTGAGAAGCCACGATGTGCTGGTACCGTGTAAAGCGGGGGGAGTCAACAATAAGTAAAAATAAACCCTCGCTGTCAGAAGTTAAAAATGGAGCCTGGGAGAAAGAGTCAGTTATAAACTGACAGAGCGATGCACACAGCAGTCCTTCCAGGCCGCAGGGCCTGTGGAAGGATGTGCCCTGCTAGGGGACTCGGGGGGATCAGAGGAGGTGACGACCAGCTGGGTGGCTGGCCGGCGAGGTGGGGGCCAGGGGGCGGGGTGGGCGGCGGCGGCCCGGGTGGGCGGCAAGCTGACCGGTGAGGGCTTGGCACACGGCGTTACCCAGGGACGGGCAACCACCACCTTAGCAGTAAACTGGGTTTTCAGCGCACAGGTGAAGGCGGATTGAGCCACACAGGAAGGGTTACCTGTCTCGGTCTGCGCCTCAGCTCCAAACGCGCTGCAGCAGGCTGGGGGTGGGAGGTGCGGAGGCCAGTGGGTCACGCGAGGAAGCAAGCAGCAGCAATCCGTCCAGCAGCACGGCCAGGGGCCTCCTGGAGACCGGGGTCTCCTTGGCCCTGAGACACCGTGCTGGGTCCCACGGAGCCCGCCCATTTCCAAACAGAAGTGGGAACCCGCTGGAGGCAGTGTTTCAGCATGAGTTTACTGCCCTTCTGATGTGTCACCGGCATTTTACACATGGCCTACTTTTTGAAAGAGTCTGATTTTCTTTTGCTCATGCTTAAAAAAAGAAAAAGCCTTTCAAAAAGCTCACACGGCATGTTTATCACAGTACGGACAATAGAGACAGGGTGTCTCTGCCTTGGGTGACCACTGTCTCCATCTGGACCCCAGGTCCTGACGTCCCATTTGATTCAGCACTTGTTCCACACAAGGGTGTCCCTGTTTAGGTGACAGATGATAGGTCTGCCCTTCTTCCCCTGAAGGCTGAGTCCAAAAGAAGACATCTTTCTCTACTACGGCCGTTTTCCACACACATCAACTACTCAGAAGTCCCAGGGGAGCAAGAGCTCAGCTATCACCTTCCAACAAAGGCTCTTTCAATAAAGTGAGACTTTGCTGGACGGGAGCTGCAAAGTGACCCGGTGTCCTCGGCACTGGACTGGGAGGATTTCAGGTGCAGCTGCGTTGGTCACCCGAGCCCCGAGGCAGGTCCGGACACTGGTCCTCAGGGCTGCAGCCTCGAGCAGCCTTCGAGGGGCTGGGAGTCCCCGCCCCTGGCAGGGCACTGGTCACCCCCAACAGCATCACCTACTCCGACCAATGCACCCGCCCCTCCCCCCACCCACCGTGACCACCCCCCCACCCCGCCCATCCTCAGGCCAAGTGACCCAGACAGCCTCCTGTGACTCCAGACCGTAAACCCAAATCCCATCAGGTCCAATCCTGTATCATTTATATCACGTCCAAGTTTCCGACAATGCCACTTATGAAAACTGTGCTTCCTCCTCTACCTGTCAGGGCTCCCAGCTCCTACCCAGACCTCCTTCTGTGAAGGGAGACCTGGGGTCATGTAAGAAGAGGTCCCCAACCTTCCGGATCTAATGCCTGATGATCTGAGGTGGGCTGATGTAATAATAATAATAATAAAGTGTACAATAAATGCAATGCACTTGAATCATCCCCCAAACCATCCCCCTCATCCCCTCCCCCCATCCATGGAAAAACTCTTCCACAATACTGGTCCCTGATGTCAAAAATGTTGGGGACCGCTGCTGTGAGGTGCAGAGGTGGAGGGGACATTCAGTGACAGGGGCTGGGGAAAGGGGGCCTGCCGGGGTGTGGTTCAGAGAAAAGGGTCTCACTCCGGGGGACAGCAGAGAAGGCACTACAGCGTTGGCCACGCTCATGGCTGCCCCCCACCCGGCTTAGGACACATGACTCTCCCGGTGGACCAGAGTCACCCCGGGATTCTCTCCGACCCCAGGAAACCGCTCTCCTCACTCCCTGCTTTCTGCTAATGTACCGTGACGGAGGCGACTTGAAAGGAGGTGCTCCAGATTACGTGCAAGAAGCTTCAGGTCACCGGGCAAATGACAGGGTGTGAGCCGGCGCCCTTCTCCTAGGAGAGGCCAGCGGGGGGTGGCCCCGCTCGGTCCCCGAACCCACCCAGGGCCATCCATTCACTGGCAAACAGGTCTTTGGAGAACAGTGGCCCCTGGGAGAGAGCTGGCCCCTGAGAGAGGGGGACAGGGAAGGAGGGAGGTGGGCGTGTGCGGAATTCATTGAACTAAGACGGCAAAGGGCAGAACCGGATTCAGAGCTTCTGACTCATTTTCTGGAACCCAGTCCGTGAAGCTGAGACACTATTTCTCTCTCCACTGAACATCTTGAGGCATTATCTGTAACTCCTCTCTAATCTGTCCCCAAGAAATGATCCCTTCTCTTCTCATAGAAATGATAACAATTCAAGGCTCAGCTCTGCTTGGCTCTTATAATATTTGAGCTCAATTCCGCTCCAATTTTAACCTCAGATCTTCTGAACAGGCTGAAAAACATCATCTGAATCCATTTCAATTTTTTTTTTTTATGAAGAGTTTTGGATAAAACAAAACGAAAATGAATTTAAGGAAAAGTGACTGAAATTTTCCAAATCCAGCTTCTTCCTTCCAAACCCTAACATTTGATGCAGAGGCAGAGAGAACGATAGGCTTTTTTTTTTTTTACATAAAACACAATCTACTAGTCAATGTGCAAATGCGGAACGTGAAAAACCAACCAGCCCAGTTCTGTTCTTGATGCTGGTGCGTGTTAAGTAGTAGAAGAAAGATACTAAAAAGTAAGAAGCCTCTGTCTCCAGTAAATGTCTCGTTTAGTAAGAGGAAAGTGAAACGGTTCAGGCGCATGGTATACCGCTCAGGGGGTGTCACAGTCAAATGAGAAAGAAGCTGCAGGCGAGATGCGTCTCCCTGCCCAGCACCTAGAGCTCAGGCTGAAGGCAGCGCCCCAGAGAGTGTCATTTCCTGGTGAGACAACTCAGAAAGCCAACCCTCAGTCTGTCATTTCGGCACACTGAGGCATGAGAGATTTCTTTTTAATATTTCCCTGATATTGAACATGCATCATTTTATCTACTTGTAGGAGATACTCCAGCGTCAGTTTCAGGGCCCCACAATAAAGCAAATATCATCATACACTGAGCCACACAAACTCTGGCTTCCCAGTACGTATCACATAGTTGTTTTTAGTCTATTAGATGTGCAATAGCTATATATAGTTCATATATTAGTTATTTATAGTCTGCTGGATGTGCAAAAGCATTCGTTTTTTAAAAAGTGTAAATACCTTAATTTAAAAATATGTTCTTGCTAAAAAAATAATGTCAGCCATCGTCTGACAACACACAGTTGCCACAAACCTTCCATTTGTTTAAAAGAAAAAAAAAAAAACAGTACTCTGGGAAGTGCAATAAAGTGAGATATGCCTGGATTTCTTGTTGGTCATTTCTCTAGGTGCAAGTCATTAGTAACCTACTGATTACTTTGCTAAATAAAACTCAAAGCAGGCAAGGTGTGACTTCTTCCCCGGGGATCCAGTGGCTAAGCTCCACGCTCCCAGTGCGGGGGCTCCGGGTTCGGTTCCTGTTCAGGGAACTAGATCCCACATGCCACAACTTACAGAGTTCTCACACCGCAACTAAAGGTCCCACACACTACAGCTGAAAAAAGATCCCGCATTCCACAACTAAGACCCAGAGCAGCCTAATAAACAAGTAAGTATTGGAAGAAAAAAACCAGGCCTGGTAACAGGACAGCACTTAGAAGAGGTCTGACCGACGGCAGTCAGGGGCTTCGGTGGGGTATGGGAGGGCGAGGCAAGCTGGACAGAACGAGCCTCGTCACGCAGGGTCTCCAGGGTCAGGCTGAGGCCCGAGCATCACCACGGCCCACCGGCCCGGGGGTGCAGACAATGAGCCAGGGTCTTGACGAGGTGACTCCAGCAGCCAGCATGGCCCTCATGGTGCAACCCCGAGGGGTATCCAGCATGAAGAGGGTGCCCTGAGAGGGGGCCAACGATCTGTTCGAGCGCCACTGGCGTACATGGCCGGCAACTGGTAGCCTTTCAGGATTTAAGAATTAACCTTTCCTGTGTCCATTAAACAGGGAAGATAAATTAGATCAACTTCTGCTATAACCTTTAGGCCAAAAGTTCAAAAGGGCTTTCTTCTCCGAAATCGGGAACAAATTCTAGCTTCCAGCAGCTCCGGTCCTCACTCTGCTCCCAGGTCTTATAACTCGTGGCAACACAGTGTCAAGAGCCAGTAGGGCTGACCGGGGAGTAGAGGGATACCAGGTGCACACCCAGAAGTAAAAAGCGGAGGCACCCCAAATGATCAGGCTGCCAGCGCTTCTGGAAATGGCACAGGAGTCACCAAACCTCCTAATTCCAAAATTACACATGTCAAACAATACCCACTTCTCCCAGGAACAAAAGGACCCTTTGTTTCTCTCAGCTAGAGTTGACTAAAAAAAAAAGCCAACAGGAATATATTAAAATGAACACAAACATATTCTCAAACTTATTTTTCTGCGGCAGAAAAACAGAAACATCTGCATCTAATTTCCTCATTAAATCAACCCATGGGAAGGCCAAGCGAGCCCAGCTGAGACCAAGGTCTATACCCCTGCAAGAATGTGGGCCCTGAACCAGTCATATCTGCATTGCCTACTCAGTCAGAAACTGGTGGAGGGGGGCAGCAATCTCTGCTTTAAGAAGCTGCTCCCCCTCCCTCCGAGTGATTCCCATGGATGCCTGAATTCAAAAAGTTTTTGCTTAAACTCCATAAACCTACACAACAACAAAGCAGACATACCTGGCTCCGAAGATGTCCTTCTTGGCGAGATCGATTCCAGAAACAACCTTCACTCTGAGAATACGGGACTCTCCCTGTGGGAGAGGGGAAAAAATAGATTAAAAAACTGACTTTTGATCCATCATTTTCACAAAGTTAATACACAGTCAATGATTCCTCTCCAGTCTAGCGGTGGGATCTGGAACAAAGCAATGCACGAGCCCTCCTTAGACTACATTCCAAAGGCAATATTCCTGCTCTGAGATCCTACAACCCTTAGAATACACTGCAAAGATTGAATAAGCAAGTGGATGTCCTACAACCCTCGACATTTAGAGCAACCAAGTTAATTAAGCACAAGTTTAATTCAAACTAGGTCATGCAGATCAATTATTTCTATCATTGATGGGAAATATTTCCCAGCTGTAGCAGGAACACAGTTGCACACATGAAACCACCGAGATGAATGCCCAAGTGCAACAAGACACCATAAATTCCATAAATACTTCCTCCTTTGAAGTTAACGTACATGTGTGTGAGGGCTGAGAGAGCAATTTCACATGGTAAAAGCCTCTTCTCAAAAATTACAGTTTCAAAATGTCAGTGCTGGCAAGCAAAACCCCAATACCACTGTGCAGAGGGGGGATGTTGGCTGGAAGCCCCAGAGGATGGATACCGTTAAAGGAAAGCGCTTCATCTCCAGGCCGGTCCTGGATGCTGGCTGAAGCAGATATGTGATGTAGCAGCAGGAGGGTGAGAGGACTTGTGAGGAGAGGGGAGAGGGAGGAAGGGTCTGCAAAGTAGTAACTCCTCCCAAAGACCAACTCAGAGCAGCTCACCTAGTTATGCACCTGTGGCTGATGTGGAGGCAACAAAGAATGGACAGGGTGACGGAAACCAAGATACAGTCAGTCACGGGCACAGAGAAGACGAGGGCTCTGGTTAGAAATCCCTTGTTGCACAGCCTGTGGGGTTTCGGAAGTCCTGGACTTTCCACCAACTCCATAGGGGGCTCAAAGGAACCCTAACTGGGTTCTAAGGAATAAGATGAGCCCTGCTAGTGGCAGTGCCCTTGAGTTTAACATTGGGTGAATGTTCTTACATTGGACAGACCTGCTCTGCAGAAACATACATTTTAAAAGTCAGAGAACATTTCTATGAATAAATGAATAAAAATAAGTTTAAATTAAGGGATACTTAGAATTTTTTATGAAAACTGATGCATTCATTCAGTAAGCATGAATACTTGTTCTAAGATTTAGGGATACAGCCATGAAGACAGACAAGACCTCTACCCCACCCCGCCCACCTTTTAGTGTTGAGAGTGTGCTCAACCACATGGGGAAACAAATCCAGAGGGTCTGAACACATTAAACTTTTGTACACACACCGGTTCAGTAAACAAATTCTCACCTAGGAATCGATCCTAAAAAAATAAACAGATACGTGCACTAAAATCCCAAAAACCCAGATAAGAGTCATCAAGTCATTTATGTAAAAGACACAAAAGTAGATATTTAAATATTCATGGCAATTCCATGCAGTGGGCTATAGTACTGTCATTAAAAATGTGTGCACTCTGTGAAGATCTTCATTCATCCCACAAGTACGTATTAAGCAGCCAGGGTGTGCCGGACTCATTACCTCGGGATACAGATGGGAGCAAAATGAAGCTCCCACCACCTAAAGGAAGTCACAGTCTAGCGAACAGAGAGGTGGGGTACAAGCAAATCCAAACAAACAAGTCAGATGATTTCTGATGGTGGCGACTGCTCTGACGACAACAGGAAAGTTAAAAAAAAAAAAAAAGCAACCACACTGAGGGAGGGAGGGAGGGAGGGAGGAGATCTATGACTGGGAGCTGGCGAGGTGACACCCGAGCTGAAAGCTGAAGGAGACAGCAGGTGATGGGCTGCGGGGGGTTCAGGCAGAGATGCCAGCAGCTCCCATCGCCTCAGAGGACAAGGCCAAGGGGAGAGGCTGGGGGGCCGGGGCAGCAAGGCGGGTGGGGTCAGAGGGCCGCGGGGCCAGCCTCGGTGTGGGTGTGTGGGGGGCGCATAACTGCAACCACCTCTGGAAAGTTTCGAGCAGGACAGTGACAGCATTTGACTTCAGTTGCTGGGGGACAGTCACTTCAGGGGATGGAGACCAGGGGCAGGGAGACCAATTATAAGGAGATCTGGAAAGAGAGGGCGGGGTTTCACACACGGTGGAGATGGAGAGGGGGCCAGATTTTGCCCACAAAATTATGTTTAAAATAAACTGTTTTTTTTTTTTTAAGAAAGTTTCAAAACGGTTTATACAACTGAGTTAGACACCAGCACGTTGTTGAACACGCTGTCGCCCCTTTCGACTAAGACTGGCAAGTGGACTACATTTCCCAGCACACCTTGCAGTTGGATGCGGTCATGCGACTAAGTTCTGGCCAATGAGACGTGGGCAGACATGCCGGCTGCATTTTCCAGACAAGGTCCGTAAGACCCTCCCACTCACCCACCTCCAATCCCGTCCCTCTTCCCCTGCCCAACCGAGAAAATTCTGAAGGCCAAGAAGGGGGCGACTCTCCTGCCTCACTCTGCCCCTTCCACCTTCACCTGCTGACCCTTCCCAGGCAGTGAAGGGCAAACAGACTTGCATAGCTTATTCTCACTGAAAGCTGGAGGTTGCTTTAGCAGTTAGCCTGCCCTCACAATACAATCTCATTTTAGAATAAATATCAACTATATATACAGGCACATGCAAAGCCCTAGAAAGGGTGAGGATAAGAATGATCATCTCTGGATAATGGATAACTTCTTTTTGCTTGTTTGCAATTTTTTCCTTTTGAAACATTAAATATTTTTGTTTGGAAACTACATTTTTGTAGAAACTTCAGAAAATACACGGAGGAGGCAATGGCAACTCCAGTGCTCTTGCCTGGAGAATCCCATGGATGGAGGAGCCTGGTGGGCTACAGTCCATGGGGTCGCTAAGAGTCGGACATGACTGAGCGACTTCACTTTCACTTTTCACTTTCATGCATTGGAGAAGGAAATGGCAACCCACTCCAGTGTTCTTGCCTGGAGAATCCCAGGGACAGAGGAGCCTCTTGGGCTGCCGTCTATGGTGTCGCACAGAGTCGGACACAAGTGACATGACTTAGCAGCAGCAGCAGAAAATACAAAAGGGGGAAGAACAGAAATTTTAAATTTAAAATACAGGCTCAGGAATACAGGTTTCCATATTTCTGAAATGAAGAAATCTTTTGTCCCAAGAAAACACAGCTACGTGTTGTATTTTAGCCAACTCGCAAAGGCATAGAGGTGTCTATTTGGAGGACATGAACAGAGTTCTCATGTAATATGGAGTCAACAGCTGGGAGATAAAAGGGGAGAGGGTCTTTATTGAGTGCTTCCTATTTACAAGCTGTGGTTGCAGGATATTTCACTTCACCCTGAAGTTTAGGAGCAGGAGAGCAGGAAAAAGAGTGCTACTCTAAAAAAATAGTTTTTTACACACGGGTTTCAGACATTCAGAAAAACTTCTTATCTTTGCTTCCTCTCAATAACAAGGTTGCACACAGATAAGCAGCCATCGCCATTCTGCAAAGAAACACATGACCAGGTATATGACTCATTTATCAGATGCAGTGGGCCCCATGCCGAGCAGCTACACTCTCTGAAGCATTATATTACTTTCATAAAATCTATGCGTGACATTTTAGCCCCTGGTTATGACTTCCCAGAATCAAATATTTAACTAAGGTGGATTATGACAATGAAGATATTATCTGGAGATGGATTGTATGAGGCAGAGAAGAAGTGAGGCCAGATAACCCAGGCTTTCCCATGACTTTGAGGGTTCCTCCCATTCTGTTAATCAACTGTCCTGCATGTTATTTGGTAACAAGGATGATTCTCTGCACTTGACATGTATTTCTCCTTCCCACTTAATTTTCTAATTCTTCATCGAGACATTAAACAAGGTGCTCAAACCATAGAACGGATGGCATTCTGAAGGCTTATTTTGTCAGTCAGTTGTTTACAATTCAGTTCAGTTCAGCCACTCAGTCGTGTCCAACTCTTTGCGACCCCATGGAGCGCAGCATGCCAGGCCTCCCTGTCTATCACCAACTCCTGGAGTTTACCCAAACTTATGTCCATTGAATCAGTGATGCCATCCAACCATCTCATCCTCTGTCGTCCCCTTCTCCTCCTGCCTTCAATCTTTCCCAGCATTAGGGTCTTTTCTAATGAGTCAGCTTTTCACATAAGGTGGCCAAAGTACTGGAGTTTCAGCTTTAGCATCAGTCCTTCCAATGAATATTCAGGCTTGATCATCTTTAGGATGGACTGGTTGGATCTCCTTGCAGTCCAAGGGACTCTCAAGAGTCTTCTCCAACACCACAGTTCAAAAGCATCAATTCTTCAGGGCTCAGCTTTCTTTCTAGTCCAACTCTCACATCTATACATGACTACGGGAAAAACCATAGCTTTGACAAGACAGACCTTTGTTGGCAAAGTAATGTCTCTGCTTTTTAATATGCTATCTAGGTTGGTCATAACTTTCCTTCCAAGGAGTAAGCGTCTTTTAATTTCATGGCTGCAGTCACCATCTGCAGTGATTTTGGAGCCCCCCAAAATAAAGTCACCCACTGTTTCCACTGTCTCCCCATCTACTTGCCATGAACAACTCATGGCAAATAGAGTAGCCTGCTCTTTATATGAGTAGCCTGCTCATATAAACTGTGTGTAAATGATGACCAGATTCCCATGCCCACCCACAAAACCTCTTAAATACATTATCTATCAAAGTGGTTCCTTTGGTAAAAATAAATCTCAAGTCCGACTCAACACAAGACACTAGAATTGACCTTTTCTCCTGTGAATCTGCCCTGAGAAGGTGAACTTTTATACTTTATTTCCTATTATATTTTATTCCCAATTCTTAACAATGGCAAATGATTCCCACCTCAAAAAGGTGGTCCCTGGGTTGGGAAATAGTGGTCTTACTTCCACAGGGATCCACTGTGACCCCACGTATCACACATACCAGCTGTCCACATGGACAAGGAAGTCTGGCGCCAGGGACTTACCTCTTGATTGTTCTCCCCTAA